AGGCCCCAACTATCCATTCGGGCCCACAACATGAGACCCAGGCCAAGACACACATCAACCAGGCCCAACACAAGAGAAACACCTGATCGCCCATGTGCAACCTCCACTGAGGTTCGTTTACGTGAGGAGGCCACGTCCCTCCAGTTAGTTAGCAATCACAGTCTAGTCCATGTGCAGGAGAGACTGAAGAGAGAGTATAAATAATTGTAAGCCCCCATCTATTCGAGGCATGAAATGAAATAATCCTTTAGTCTTCTACTGTCTCTCCCTTCTTCCTCTCTTCCTCTCTCTCGTCCATTTCAGGAGGGTGAGCTCCCTCGAACCAGCTCAGATTCTCAGAATTCAAAGTGGTCCTATCATATTAATTTGCTCCAAATTTTTTCACTGGAAAAGGATGTAGAGAGCTAGAAAAGGAGGATGGCTTAGAAGGAGGCACAAGAGAAAATGCTGGAGTGGCAAGCAATCCAACTATGGAGGTCCAATGAAGGGTCGTGAAAAAATCCTCCAAAGACTTAATCAACATGATCACAACAGGGGTTTCAAAATCCCCGAGGCCCTTTTTGAATGCAAAATCCCAATTTATCCTAGTAGAGGAGACAGATGCATCCTGATCAATAGTCTTTTTTTTTTAAGGACGAGACAGAATGAGGTTAGGAAAATAATCCCTTAGGGAACAGTTACCCACCCATAGATCCTCCCAAAAGTTTATTTTCTTCCCTATACACACATCACACTTGACAAATCTTAGGAAATCTGGTAGGACATTGGAAATTGCTTTCCAAGGGAATAACAATGTAGCCAGGCATCCCAACCATTTGCCAAAAGTCTATGAATGCTTAAAACCACCTTGTGTCATTTGCTCGTCTAAGGGTAGTCTTGACAGCCATTTTCCTAACAAAATTTTATTTTTGACCACCAATTTTTCTTCTTCAGAAAAGAGGACTGGTGAATTGGTCGATAAGGAAAGAGTTGTGGAGGAACATCTGTTTAATACTTGGACATTAGCTTCGCGTCTCAATTCACATATTTGTATTTTGTACTCTACCTATAATCTTGATTCTTTTAATCCCCCAAGCTTTCCATATGCCTTACTTTCATCCTCTTCTTTTTTCCACTTTCACTCGTTTCACTCAAAATCATGCGATTCACAATTTGAATCATACGATTCAAATCAAATCGGGGCTAAAATGATACAAATCGTATTTTGAATAAATCGTACAATTTGTAAGCAAATCGCTAGTGTAAATCGTAAATCGCAATTCTTGGACAATTCATATGATTAGAGTTTGAAAGCTTAACTTAAGATTAAATGACCATTTAACCCTCTTCCTTTTTAAAGTTTTTCTTTTACATAGAGGGGCTGAATCGTCATTTTAGTTATAAAACATAGAATATCCACTTTGGTCGATCATCAAACATGACTTACCATTGAAGGAAAAGACTTGGGGGGAGACTGGAAGAGAAGAAACTCTCCTCCATTGTTTCGGTGAAGCTTCAAACCTCCTCCTCCTCCTCCTTCTTCTTCTTTCTCCTTTATTTCAGTCGGTTTTTTGGCATGAAAACAGGGGCTCCGCCCTATTTATTTCAGTTGGTGTTTTGGCATAAAAACAGGGGTTTTGCCCCATTTGTTTCAATCGTTTTTTGGCATGAAAACAGGGGCTCTGTCCCTTGTTTTTCATTCATTTTTGCATGAAAGCTAGGGGTACCTAGTTTCATTCTTTCTTTTTGAATAAAAACAGGGGCTCCGCCCTATTACATTTCCACCTTGTTTCATAATATTTTATCTTGATTTTTTTTTTGCATAAAAACAGGGGCTTCTCCCCAATATTTTTACTTGTTTTCTTGCATGAAAATAGGGCTTTAGCCCTGATATATTCCCCTCACCCTTTTTAAATCACAAAACAGGGGTTCATCCCCATTTTCATTCCTTTTTACACATAAAATAAAATTGTATTATGCAAAAACAGAGATGTATTTGCACTTTGTAGGTTAAAACAGGTTGCTTTCTATTGTGCCAAAATAGCTTCCTTTTTTTTTTTCTTTTTGCTAATGTTAAAACATGTTCCATTCTATTATTTTCACCCTCATTTTTTTTTATGAAAAAACAGGGATATATTCTATTTTCTCACTCTTTTCCAACATGAAAACAGGGTTCATTTGTTTTCTTTCTTTCATTATTCATATTAAAACAGTGACTTTGCCCCATTCTTTCTTGTCTTCATTTTCCCTTTTTTATATTTTCCTTCCTCCTTGAAATTGGATTATGTTTTATGAAGCACTTATAGACTTTAAAATTTGATTTTTTAGAATGGAATTAAAATTCATCCATAGTTCTATACACATGATATCTCTTTATATTCATTAATTTCAGAGAAATTAATTTCTTTAGTGGTATAACTTTCATTTGTAGGTCTCACTATTGTATAAATTGTATGGATAATTATTAAATGATGACTTGATGTGTGTAGCTTGTTACTTTGTTTAACACTTGAAAGTTGAAAGTTAAAATTTAAAACAATAGAAACAAGACTCTATACTTATAGACTCTAGAAAACATTATGGTTCATTCTAAAAAATTATGGTTCATTCATATTTCATATCAATTAAAGATATTGCTTTTTATTGACACTAGTGTAACTATAAGTCTGTCATTACTATATAGTTATAAGATGTTTATGGGTTAGAAAGCTTGTGCAAAGTCATTTTTTCTATTTTTTTGAGAGATTTAGGTATATTTTAGAGTTTTTAACAGTTTTTGAAAAAATAAGAAAAAATCTTACGATTTACAATACGATTCAATTCAAACCCGTTTACGATTTACAATACGACTATGATTTTCAGAACATTGAGTAAAATACAAACTATAGGGTAGGTTTTAATAAATCCATGAAACCACAAGTGGTGATGACCCTTGAGTATTCTTTCTATTGTGGTCTGAGAGTTATTTTCAGGGAAAGTATGTTCTTGTGTGTGGATATAGTTTATCTGTGAGACTGACAGAATATGAACATCGAACTTGAATAGTGTCTAATGGATATATAAAAAATGCATCTATATTTCTTCATAAAATGTTAACTTATATAGATTATGAAACTGAGACTCTCAAAGCCAATATTTTTTTCTTTATTTTTTTTACTTTTGTATTAATTTTTTTTAAGGGTAATAATAATCTTTGCTTACACATATGATGTAGAAACTAACGCATTATGATCTTTTCCTGCTGCAGCTGTGGGTCTTGTGGTTACCCTTTGAACTTGAATTCTTCTAACCGTATTACTTCTGGCATAGGTTCTGATTACCGCAAATCCATTAAGAAGGGTTTTATCTCTTTCCTTTCCATTGATATTAGCAGATTCACACAAGTTGATGAGGTAAATTGTCTCCCTGTCTCTTGGGGCCGCTACCGTTCAAAAACCAAACTTCTTTGTCGTAAATGTGGAGTTCTTATTGGCTATGGGTATGGAGACTCACCTGCTCTCTGTGGTTTTGACTCTCCCACATCATCTGCCTCTGCTTATAAGTTCACCATAAAGATACGAGCTTTACAGCCATCAGAAGAAAGCACAAATGGGGGATCATTGTAAGGATAGCGTGACCTCCATTATGGACCTTCCTGATGACTGTCTTCTTGCTATTTTCCGGTGGCTGCAAGGAAGCACAGATCGAGATTCTTTTGGCTTAACATGTCGACGTTGGCTTCAGATTCAAAACATAGGACGTAGATCATTACAGTTCCATTGTTCTTTGACCAGGACCAATCTCTCATCATTTTCTCACGTTGGCCCCAATATCGAGTCCTTCCATCTTTATAAGCTACTTACACGTTTCCAACAACTTAGCTCTCTGTCTTTATCTGGATGCACCGAGTTGTCAGATTCAGGGTTAACACTGTTGCAACGCTATGGCTCCAACTTACAATCTCTATATCTGGATTGTTGTTTTAGAATTACAGATGGTGGACTATCTGCGGTGGCTAATGGATGTCCTTCTTTGACTTCTGTAAGTCTTTATCGATGCAACATCACTGACGCTGGGTTGGAATCCCTGGCTAAATTCTGCTCATCTTTGAAAGATATGAATCTTTCACATTGTTCACTCATTACTGATTGTGGGATAGGATCTCTATCACGAGAATGCCGCCAACTCAGAGCTGTAACGATATCATTCTGCCGAGGTATTACTGGTATTGGATTTAGAGGTTGTTCACAGACTCTAACTTATTTGGAGGCTGATTCATGCAAGTTTGACCCTAATGGCATATTAGGAATCGTTAGTGGTGGGGGACTTGAATATGTGAATGTTTCTTGTCTGAGTTGGTGCATTCATGGTGATGGTTTGGCCGGGATTGGGGCTGGATTTGCCATGAGGCTCCGGGTCCTTAACCTCCGAATGTGTCGAAGTGTGAGTGATACTTCCATCATGGCCATAGCTAAGGGGTGCCCAGCACTTCAGGAATGGAATCTAGCATTGTGTCATGAAGTCAGATTGCCTGGATGGGAGGCTATAGGGACAAACTGCCATAACTTGGAGGTACTTCATGTGAACAGGTGCCGAAATTTATGTGACCGTGGATTCCAGGCTTTGCGGGATGGCTGCAAACAGCTATCCGTCTTGTACATGCATCGGTGTCGGCTAATCACTCCTACAGCAATAGAGTTGTTCAAGTGTTTAAGAGGAGATGTGAAGATCAAGGAAGAGGAATTGATGTCAATTGGGTGTGACTTGGGGTTTCGTCATTAAGTGAAGGGAGTTTAATTGTTCAGGACACTAGCCCCTCCTTCCCTTTCTGTTGGCTTTATTCCCAACAGGAGCTATAGAATATGAAGTTCAAGATTTGCAACAAGCATCATCCTAACCCTTAATTGGGGTTAGGGGTTAAAAGAGAAAGTCAAATTGAAGTTTGATGCAGCAAAATTTTGTTAATTAGACATCAGGGAAATGCTCCAGATTTAACTTGGACTTTTGGCCCATATCAAGAGATGTTTATGTCTATGGTTTTGTGTTTCATTTTTTTAATTTGAATTGTATCTGGAAGGAACCATTGGACGTATCCATAACCATTATTTGTGTTAGAAGAGTATTTTCAAGTTATTACTCATTTCCCCTTTCTACAATATCCTTTATGATATAGAATGTATAATCTCTTGTTCAGAAGTGATATTGCAAGATTGTTTTCTTAAATGATTGAATCAAGAGGCTACTAAAATAAGAGGGTAAAATCCCCAATACAATGTGTGATGTATACTTCTATTACCTTATATAAAAGAGAGTTTCATTCTCTCTCTCTCTCTCTCTCTCTCTCTCTGATTCGTGCAATACATGTGCCACATGATTTTTAGTAGGCTGTTAGGCTGAGTCCAATGCACTCACACTTGGAAGAGTCCGATGGGTCCCACCCTGGAGATCCATGTCAGAGTCCAGTAAGATGAGAAAATAGCAACTATTCCATCAATGCATGCACCATTTGCCTATACTTTTTTGGGGCACCAAAGGGTCAAGTTTTGTAGGAATCTAGAAAAAGAGAACAAATTCCCCAGTACTCTAGGATTTTATGTGTTTATATTGATGGCAAATCTAAGGGTTTTTTGACAATACATGATTGGTTTTGTTTTTAAAAACAAAAACAACTGCCACATCAATGAAAACAATATAACTTTGTTGTAGCAGTTGCTTTTGGTTTCAAACACAAAACCATGTTATCAAACACCCCTTAGTGTTTCGTTTGCTATTTTCTTTTAAATTTTCCTATTTTGCTTGCAATGGAGAAAATGCATATGGAAACAACAGCAGAGTTCTTAGTGAAAGCTTGTTGTACTGAAGCCTAATATCTGAAATACTCCAAAAATGTATAGTTCCTATCTCTTCCATCTTAGCAGCGGATTATGCTTTTTAAGCTATTGTACAGATGTGCTCTTCTCTTCTCATGTTAGTGGTTGCAGTGATGGTTGTCGTTGAACATCCACACCGATATGGTTTACTTTTGGAATGATGGATTTGGTTTCGGATTTGTTGTCCATGCAAGTTTTTCGTGTTGTTTCTTTCATAGAAATGGTTGGTTTCATCCAGGGTTTAAAATATCAATACACCCTGATACTGGAAGGGATGTACGATGATTCGTACTTAATATAAGCTTTTTTTTTAATTTTTTTTCCAAAAATAGGTCAGGGGATAAATCTTAGACCTGCCTATCCCTTGAAATGGGTCAAAAGGCTAAAAGGCCTGTACATCGTGTATCGGATACCGGACGATACAATTGACTACGATATAACAGGCGTATCATATCTTTGGGTTTCCGATACACCTATTTAAAGGTATTTTCAGAAAACCAATGTTTTTATTGATTAAACAATATAAAAAAATTGTAAAATAGAAATTTTAGAAAAATACTAAAAAAAACAAAAACGTGGGATAAAAAGTATCAATACACCCCTGCCAGCATATCAGGTTCTTCCTAGTTCCCTCTCCTGTGAGGCTATGATCTCACTCTCTTTGAATGCAGAGGAGCTTGAGCCGTTGGTTCTTGGATTCACTGGGAATGTGGAGAACAAGAGTGAGAGGATAACGGCTGATGTTGCTGAAGTCAATGACTTACTGCTTAATTAAACGAGTTTAGAAAACTTCGGTCATTATAATTGTAAATAGATGGTACAGAAGATGGCTGAGTTCTTTGGTCCAAGTCTGCTTAAGGGAATTAAAAGCTGTAATTATCATAATTACTTTTAATCAGTAGAATTATCATTATATTAAACCAAAAATATAAACACACTCATACAAAGACCCTTTGATAAGCTTCCCATGGGAAAAGCCAATGCAACCTATCTATTCTCTTGCATGATTTCATGAGATTGGACAAGGAAACCAAAGAGTATATACAATCTGCACCCACAACAAAGCCCTCCTCATCTCAAACAAAAGGAAGAAATCAATGGAATCAAAGTGAAAATGCAATTCGAAAATTCCTGTATGTAGCTACGACTAAGGAGGAGTGGCAAGATAATGCAATTGAAAGTTTTCAAGCAGCACTTATAGTTTCACCTCCCGATCAAAAATCCAGCTAAAAGGAATTATGGGTGCTTGCTTGGCCCGCTCTAGAGCTCTCTCCTCCAGCCTTCTGATTCGTGGAGCCAACCCACACACATAATCTTGAGCTTTCTTCCCCTCACTAGAAAGACCTGTTAACTTCTCCACATTCCATCTATTGACCAAAAATTCCAATATATCAGCATAGTCCTTTGCTGTGTAGACCCCTAGCCTCTGTGCAACGGCTGAGAAGTGTTCAAAAAGGTTGTCATCCCGACCATCATACATTAGGTGAGCTGGCATTGAGATTTTCTTCTTCATCATATCTGTGAAAGCCAAGACGGTACCGTCTGGGTCAATCTCAAAAAGCTTTTCCACAATCTTGGTATATGCAGTTTCATGGCGCTTCTCATCAGCAGCAATAGTTCCGCATATTTGTGCCAGCTTTAAGTCTCCATATTCCTTGGCAAGCCTGGCTGTGTTCCCATGCGAGATGAAGGTAGCTCTTTCCTGGAATGAGGTGTAGATAAACCCAAGATAGGGGTTGTTCTCCGTCCTTGGATCCTAAAAAAGAATTGTGGAAAAGAACAGCATCATCTTAAGAAAGTCATCCCAATGCCACAGATAGAACAAAATACAAATTCCAAGAATAAAACTTTTTCCTGTACCCCTTACAGATGCATCTTTACTCCACATCTGGAATATTGTTTGTTGAGCCAACCCGTACAGATTGGGATCACTTGAAATGACGTAACCTTCCAGATGTGCAGTCTATGGTGTATTTGTAAGGAGTAGAATAGACAAATCCGTGCACTGTGCTAAAGAGAAATACCACCGGGTGAAAAGAATTATTTGAATGGCAATAGATGCCATTCAAAGGCAAAAGCAATGCACCAAAACCAGTATAAATCTAGAAAACCCAGCAGCATTCCTACATCAATAGCAGGCAGATATCCCCAACCAAAAACTGGTCAAAACTGGAAATTCATAGACACCCAAATCTATTCGACTCCTTGAAGAGACTAGTAATGAAAAGTTTTCCTGACACTTCAAGAAAAACAAATAGCATGCTTTTTACCCTAAAAAATCTCCCAAGTGGATGCTTTTGGTTGGTGGGCACCAATCCTTGCATGTATGCCCATATCTACGGATATAAGTTCTGCTGATCATCTTTACACTCCAACAGTATATCAACAGTACCTTAGACCTCCACATACAAAATTAGCACTTCAAAGGTAAATACATAGAGAATAATCTGCAGTTTGAGGTTTCTGAGGACAACTAGAATCCATCTTCCATATAGATATTTACAGTTTTCTAACAGAATAGTCATTGAAAGTTCAACTACTAATTCTAGCTACCCAATCAAAAGATGTAATTCCTGGAAATGATCTTACCATTCCTGATCCAATCAGATATTGAATTGTCTTCTCAATTTGCTTCATATCAACTCGTCCAGTCAAATAGAGGTACTTGTTGAGAAGGTCCCCATGCCTATTTTCTTCGGCAGTCCATGCCCTTGTCCACACTGCCCAAGAAGTGAGGCTTGCACCTGTTTCATCACGAACCCCATCTAGGGTATTAAGCATTGTTTGGTAAGTAGGAAGGGCTTCTTCTGTAATCATATCTCCAACCAAGACAACAAAGTAGTCATCAGGAATCTCCTTTGATCGCTCCCTTAGTTCCTTGACTTGTTCATAGAATCCCTCTGAGGAAGGGTCTGGCAGAAAATCCTGTGGTTGCCAGCATTTCTCAACAGGCTTCAAGTGTACCAAGACATTCTGCTCTGCCCAATCCTCCATAGATTTGAATATCTCAATATTTTGTGGTGGCATGGAGTGGGTTACCTGAACATGTACCTCACGGGGAGGGCTGAAAGGCTTTCTCAAATTTTCAACCTCCCTAAATTGAACAGAAAAAAGTTGATTCAGAAGCTTATAATATTAGAAGAGGGAACTGGTATGAAGAACAATGTCTGACCACACGCATGCGCATGCACATACACACAGTGTAATGCCAATCTTACAAGCTTATCCTATTGCAAGGTTTGTTTAGGGGTAATAGCCATTTTTCTAGCATGTACAGGGGCAGAGCTACATGTATTTGAGTGGGGTCAATTGGCGCTACTGAAGTACAAAAAAAGACATGAAGTATATGTACTATTTCAGGCTTTTCAGCCCACTTTCTCATATTGACCCCAATAAAGTTAAATGAAAACATAAGAGTGTGGGGTTAATCTAGGCATTTTATTTGGACTTTAGACTAATTGACTTTTAGACTACGTAAATAAAGAACCCATTTGGGAGATCTTCTGCAGAGATTAAGCTGCATTGATAGAGCCTCTTCCGAGAAGCTACCTACAAGCTATGATAGCTTCAACGGAAGGTCAATTTTTGGGCCCATGTTAGCCTTTTTTGGCTTTATAGGTTTTTATTGAATAGGACTTTACGACACTTTAATCCAAGAAATTAAACTTCAACTCTCCACACCTCAAAACACTTAAACCTCTAAACACAACCCCCTCAACAACCAAAAGAAAGACTAAAATAAACTGATCATGGATAAAAAACAACAAGATCCAAAAATCCACCATCTGAAAATATAGCCAAACCAAGTTAACAGCTCAACTAAACAACCAAATCACCCCATCATCACCCTCCCCCACCCACCCCCAACAATCCACTACATCTCCCAAGAAATGAAACTCAGGACACACCATAACACCACTTAAGAGATTACATATTCTTCAGCTTCTTAGAGGCTAAAGCAAAAACCTCACTACTCTTGAGAAATTTTTCGATTTTCCTCACCTTTTGCTTTAGCCTTCATGTATTGACATTGCACTTTGGTTCTTAAATTTGAACCTACCTAGATCAATTAAATATTTTTAATAACAAGAAAACCTGCTTTTATAAAACTATATACTCAGATAGCAATGATCAAGAAACACTATGTAGTACCTACAGTATTTGCAGTATCAAGGAATGCAATATCATTAATCTAACTACTTGGTTGATAGGTGCTGTAAATGCTAAAGCAAATGACCTAATAATTTTATCCACCCAAACAATTGCATCCATTTAAATGATCACAGATATGTACCAGAAAATAATTTTACTTGCATGATTATATGGCTCATTAAATAAATGGAAAAGAAACCAGGAAGTCACCAAGGTGGCCGATTAGTTGGGCAACCTGTGATTTTTAACTTAAATTTTTATGATAGATTTCAGGGTTACAAAGGCAGTCTTTTAGGCATCCATATGTCCTAGGTACTCACAATGGGTCAACAGGTAACTTATGACAGATCACCTTTTTTTGACCTTGGATTCACTTTTTTACCAGGAAATTGCCTACTTCACTTATCTCATTATTATAATATGCTAGCAGAAGGCACCTACACTGCACATGAGAAGGATGAACATTTGATCATGGAAACTATGATCACCCTCAAAAAGCAGAAGCAATACAAACAACAAAGAAGCCCAACATCAGGGGAAAATCCACAAAAATAGAACATGATTTCCTGCATGAGAAATCTAGAACATATTGAAAATTGTTGAAGTCATAAGATTTACAATATGCTTAGCAATTTGAACAGTGAATCTAAATGGCTTCACATTTTTTATTTCAATCTTATGATTCCATGCATGAATTTTATGATTTATACAGTCCGTGTGATTTGAAACAATTAAATTAAGTCCTAGCTCTCTACTTTGTCATTCCCTTGTTTCTTTTAATTTTAAGGGACTATTGTTTTAAAACCCTTACTTGAATAAGATATATTTAGGTCATCTAAACCTATTTAAAATATTATTGAGTTTATTTTATACTTTTTGTAGGTTAAAGAGCCAATTTATAACCAAGTTAATTGACTTTCAAGTTCTACTTGATTTATTATCTTGCTCTTCTTCCCTTAAGTGGTAAATTCTGTTGTATCAAGTACACAAATATGGTAGATAAGAACTAAGAATAGGGTAAAACCACTTTCTATGTATATTCATGTTATGTTTTTATTCTTTCTCAATAAAAAAGTAGATATGTTTTTTTTTGACAAATTTATAAAAAACAGAGATAACCTTACAATTTATGATAATGATTCATGATTTGATTCAATTCAACCTTTTCCTATATGATTTAAGATACAACTATGATATCCAGAACATCATGTTGGCAATTACCAGTTTTTGCTTGTGTTAAAGTGCATTTGCTTGTGTTAAAGTACATCTTGTAAAAGGGCAGAATAGTCCTTTTGTCTTCTCTTTATTTCTTTCCTTTAGCCTTCTTATTTCTCCTTTCTCCTCAAAGTTAATACATAAAAGAGGGCTCAACAGGTTGAGAGGTCGATAATGTTTGCTGTTTGAACCCTATTTTATTCCCTCCATTTTCTCTTCTTCTTTTATTCTTCTGAACAAAGCTTCTTTTCATGTTTTTCTTCTTATTTTCTTCATCAGTCTAAGAGTTTTGAGTCAAAGTGCATGGTATCATAGCACCAGAAGTCAACTAGTTCATCCTAGATGCTTTGTTCTATTGTTTTTCATTTCTAACTCATTCTATATGTTGAAGAAAAGAAAAGAGACATAAAAGGACTGATCATTTCTTAGGGAAGGAGGCTTTAATGCCTGAAGTTGTTCCAGTTTGTGTGGTGTTGGTGATTTTCTAAATGCCCTCTAATCAGCAGTTTGAAGAGAAGTCAATTTCATCATGTTAAGTGTTGCAGTTTTTTTTTTCCTTTTTTTTTTTGATTGTGTTGTGCTGTTTAGTTGATGTGTGTAGTGTGGCTATAACTTAGTCGGAGGCTGGTGACAGTGGTGGTCGATTGACTTGATTCAGGTGAGTAGAAAGCTGACTTCCTTGTTCTTTTTCAAGCTGGAGATCGGTGTAGAAAATATTCAGTGATGATTGTTTGGTTGGAATAATCTTTTCTACCTAATAATTGGTCCTACTTGGTAACTGAAGAAGCCTTTTGTCTCATGGCTGCCTCTGCAAGTAGTTCCAAGTTGACTGTAGTGATACAATCCAATTAATGTGTTCAGTTGACCACTGTTTGAACTCCATGGCACTATGTACCATGTGCCAAATCTGTTGAATTTACCTTGATTGGGAGAGGAAAGTTGAAGTACATCACTGAAGATAAGCCAAAAGTAGGGTCTGAAGGGTATAATGAATGGGTGGTATAGTGAATGGGTGCAAGAGAATGCACAAATTATGACCTCTCTGTGGCATAGCATGAAAAATAACATTAATGGCAATCTTATGTTCCTAAACACTGCAAAGGATATATTTGGGAGCATGCTAGGCAATTGAATTGGGCACAATAATGTAACTCGAATCTATCAATTGAATTAAGACTATTTTTCCCTCCAACAAGGTGATAAAATGTGGAGGAATATTATTCAACCTTAAAAAGTTTGAGAAATGAATTAAATGTATATCAACCACTTGCAACTGATTTGAAGACGCAACAGGAACAAAGGGAGCATTTATCTGGCTTGAGGTGAAAATTCGAATGAGTTTGAGCCCAGATTTTGAGTAGAAATGAGCTTTCATCTTGCAAGTGCACCCATGTCAGAAAGATCTGCCTTAGCTGTAGCCTGTGGAGGAGGTGGAGGTATAAGCATATGTGGCAGAGGTGATCCCAAGGGTGCTAGTCGTGGGTTTAGAGGCAATAGAGGTGGTCATAGAGATGGTGGCTATGAGAGGCAGTGGCAGGAGTGGTAGTGGTGGCCATATACAAGTTTGCTAGTGCTCTCGTTATGGTCGTGAAAGGCATATGGACAATTTTGCTATAACTTGTATGGACCTCCCTCCACTTCGGCTAATCATGTCATAGTTGGAGAGGAGCTTGATGATGGGAATTCATTTCCATCACTCATGAGGAGTATGAGAAACTTCACCACTTGCCTTCCAATACTATTGCCACACTTTCCAAATCAAGTACAATTTGTCTTGTTTCCACTTCTATGTCTAAGCCTTCAATAATTAACTCTGGAGATTCAGATCATATGACCAAGTCTTTAGATTTATTCATGTCTATATCTCCATCCTCCACATCTCAGACAGTTGCATTAGCTGATGGTACTTCCTCATCCATTATGGGTGGTAGTAATGTGTCTCTTAGTTCCAACATTACTTTAAATTAAATTTTTATGTCCCCAAGTTTCCCTAAAGCTCTTATCTATGAGTAAGTTTACACAATCTCTTAATTGTTCAGTGATATTTTATCCTTTTTACTACGTCTTTCATGATCTCATGATGGGAAGATAATTGGTGGGAGTTTTGAACTTGGAGGATTGTACCACTTGGATGACAAAGATCCACAGATTGCTCTTCCATTTAAGAAAGCATTGCTGACATACAATTGATGCAGTTCCTATGAAAAATTGGCTACAAGAGAGAGTAACACCCATAATCAATATCTTCTTTTTGGGTGAACCCCTTTGCAATTAATCTGGTTTATACTTCCCAATAGAACCATTAGCCTTGTGTTTGATTGTATACACCCACTTGCACCCCATAATGCTCTTCCCAACTGGTGGATCCACTTTCTCCCAAGTGTAACAAGGCTTCCATTTCCTCACCCATAGATTCCTTCCATTTTCAACAATAGCCTCTGAGTACCTAGACGGCTAGGAGTAGATGCAAAGAACAAGGCAAAGACAAAAAGAGTGATAGGTAAGAGACAAATGACAATATGAAACAAATTCATTTATAGGATGAAAAGTGCATGAACAAACTTCTGAAATTTCACATTTGATGATATTTGGAGGAATTGGCCTTTAGTGGCTTCTACCTCAATGCAGAAGGTTAAGGCAAGGTTGGCTTGGGCTCCTCCCATTGAAGGATTTCTGAAATTAAACTTCGATGGGAGTAGTCAAGGCAACTCAGGCCCAGCTGGAATA